ACTGGAGCTGCTCCTGGAGTCTGTGATACTCTGACTGCTCCCACTATCTGAGATACATTTAAAAGTAATAATCTATAAAAAGAAATCGTTTTATCATCAAAAGTTCAAACTAAATATAAACTTAATATTGTTGATAAAGTAGGGTTTTTTCTTTAATAGAGTTTTATCTGTTAGTATTTTATTAGTGTAGCATTTGATGAGGTATATGTAGGGCTGGGCACATTCGGACTTTTTTAAATTGTTCTGTTCTGTTCTAGAACAAAGGCCTTTAACTAGATCGTTCTGTTCTAGAAGAAGGGCCTTTAGCTAGATCGTTCTGTTTTAGAACAAGGGCCTTTAGCTAGATCGTTCTGTTCTAGAAGAAAGGCCTTTAACTAAATCGTTCTGTTCTAGAACAAGGGCCTTTAGCTAGATCGTTCTGTTCTTGTTCCTTTTTCCCCCAATCATTTCGTTTTTGTTCCGTTTTTGGCGTTCTTAGTTAAAGAACAATTCCATTCCCGTTCAGTTCTTAGTCAAGAACAATTTTGAAAAGGGGTGTGAAAAACTTGTAGATTTAGAAAAAAATTATAAATTTTCACAATCAATATTTCAATAAAATTGAAAAAGAAATATATATAGATTAAAGAAAACAATTTCTTACAACCAAATTAAAAAATTGAAATAAAAAATCTAATCATTTCTAGATGATTTAGAACACATTCCTGATTTAAAATGTGTTCCCGATAAAAATAAATGAGTTCCTGATTTTAACGTTCCGTTCTGTTCTGTTCTTTTACTTATTATTCCAAGGGAATACTTCTTGATCGTTCCCCAGGAAAGACGCCCAGCCCTAGGTATACATTTTATTCATGTGGCGTGAAATATTTGTATGTAGAGTTTTTTTAGTATGATTATAAGGAATTATCACATTAAAAGCACTATTTGTTAGCTTCAATAGCAAAGTTCTTTTTGAATCGTAGAACTTTGAAATGTTTTCAGTAATGCAGAAGCCAAAATATATTCTGTACTATAATCAGGTAGAGGAATATATTCTGTACTATAATCAGGTAGAGGAATATATTCTGTACTATAATCAGGTAGAGGAAAATATTCTGTACTATAGAGGAATAAATAGTAAATCCCATATTAAGATCCCTTAAGATTTCTAAAGCTGTAAAGCTGTATTTTTCCAAGCTGTGCAATTTACATAAAAGTTCCTGTGGCCAAATTATTTTTTTTTTTGGTATGAAAATTATCTAAATTTATTATTTGAAGAGATGAATAAATAGCCCTGAAGTACACAGAACAGTTACCACACAGATCATAAAATATTTGTTTTTGAGCGCACAGAGCTTGCAATGTAAAAGCTTTGGCTCGAGACGTAATTCCTTAAACCTGCAGCTTCAAAACCCAATCTGAAGACCCAACTCTGATGACAGCTTGTGTCACGCGATTGACAGCTTCAAGATCTTAGACTCGACTTAAGGAGTTAGGCTCAATGAAAATAAAATGCTGCCAGTTCAAACCATGAAAATCCGCCAAATACAATATTAAACCGGTTTTAGGAACACAATTTGGTAGAAAAAAAGCTCAAGCTGTAAATAAAACCCAACAGCAGCTAGACATAAGTCTTATTTTCTTGAATTTTTAAAATCGCTGGCTCTGGATACATAAATAAACTTAAAATCATATATTTATGTATAATGTAAACATATTAAACATTTTTTCATGTAACAGTATTTGCTGAATGTTGATATTGATAACAACTGCAATTGAATACTTTGAATCTAAAATAAGAAAAGAAATATAAAAGTTAAAAGAAAAAATATTATGATTTATATTAGTTTTGGTCCTCAGACAATTTTGGCCATGGATATGGAATGCATCCTTTTGTCGCAAACAATTGTACTGTAAATAATTGTTTTATTACAAATGACAGGTTATAACTTCTCAAATATTTTTTCAATTTTTATAAACACCCCCTTTAAGAAAAATCATTTGACTCATGCTGATGGTTAGTCTTTACCCAACCCTACTTAAAGATGTTATTTTTTAGTTTAAGAATAACAACCTTCCATTGTATGGCATTAACCCTAGTGACATCTGGTTTATACCCAAAACAGTCTGGGGGGGGTCCCAGGGTTCCATCCTTCTATTTCCTTGTTGTAATACAAATCTATAACATTTGATACATTTTGAAAAGGCCTTGGGCTCTATTTTAATTATCTGCAAATAAATTTGCAAATTTGCCAGGGGCGTTTGTGAAAAATCTATGCAAATTTTCTTCCCGTGAATTGTGCAATCTGTTTTCTTTCGATAGAGCCATAAAAAGTGAAAATCCAATGACTGGAAGTAGATCTAAATAAAAATTTTGCTGGGTAAAAGTAAAATAATGCATAGTATGCTCCGATTTGAGCCTTAAATAAGGGGCATAAATTAGTTCTACAGCCTCAGACCAATAATTTTAACTACAAAAAAATTAGGGGGGGGGGTCCCAGGGTTCCATCCTTCTATTTCCACGTTGTAATACAAATCTATAACATTTGATACATTTTGAAAAGGCCTTGGGCTCTATTTTAATCATCTGCAAATAAATTTGCATATTTGCCAGGGGCCTTTGTGAAAAATCTATGCAAATTTTCTTCCCGAGAATTGTGCAATCTGTTTCTTTTGTTCAAGACTTTCAAAAGAGCCATAAAAAGTCAAAATCCAATGACCGGAAGTAGATCTAAATAAAATTTAGCTGGGTAAAGGTAAAATAATGTATAGTATGCTCAGATTTGAGCCTTAAGTGAGGGGCATATGTTAGTTCTACAGCCTCAGACCAATAGTTTTAACTACAAAAATTCTCATTTGAAAATTCACTTTGCAAGGACTATGTGACAGAGAAGCTGTGGAGGATTTTAGGAAAAATATTTGAATTACTTTTGGAATAATTTAATTTAAAAAACAAGTTTTATCTCTCATTTGAAAATTCACTTTGCAAGGACTATGTGACAGAGAAGCTGTGGAGGATTTTAGGAAAAATATTTGAATTAATTTTGGATTTAGATAATTTAAACAATTGGCATTTTTCAGACGAAGCTTACTTAAAACTAAAAGATATTAGTACAACAACTTTTTTATGTTTCTTAGAAAACATAAAATCTTTAAAAATCTAAACCTTGGATATTTAGTTCTTTTCTGAGACAGGAAAAGAATTAATAAAATCAAAATTTTATTTTTAAATATTGGATTTAGAGCAAAACATGGTTCCTGTTGTATTAGGTAAATGGTCTATTTTAAATATCAGTTTTTGAATTTTTGGACAGCAAATTATTTACAGGATCTGCGAATTATACTGATTTGGCCCCTCCGCATTCCTTTATTAATGTTCAGGAATAATAAAGAATCAAGAAACTATCATTTTTTTCTCAATTATTTAATATCTTTTTTAAATTTCTATTGTTTTTACAACCCATCAGTGATGATGACCTAAAATATTGACTTGACATTTTTGTCAAGTTGATTTAATTACAGGAGAATTTTTTATTATATTTTTTTGTAGCATCAGTAATTTAGTTCAATAAATTGGGTATTTAAAGGAAAAAATTTAAACTTTTAAAAAGATATTTTACAAACATCTAACCTTTATTCTTTGATATATTTTAAAACACTTTATTGTTCATGCTTGCTTTAAACGTTACCAAATTAGCCAAAAAATACTTAAGTGAAAAATTACCTATGTTTCTTATCCTATGGGTTGGGCTAGACTCATTCTGACTTTTTCCTATCTGTTTGTTAATGGTTAGTTAAAACTGGTAAAAACAGAAGGTTTGTTTTGTTAAGAGTATTTTCCGTTTTTTTGAAGCTACCATAAGTTAACAATCTCCATATAATAACTGCCTAAAATGTACATATTTTAGATATTTTTGCCAGTGGTAAAATATCTGGAAAATTTGAAGAGAACATAAAAATGCATAAAATTCAATGATTAATAAAAATCACAGTGTTTAAAACCATCAAAAAAAATATCTTATATTTTCTGCATGTTCATGCAATTAAGCAGAAAAAATATCAAAAATTAATGCTTTTTGCCATTTGTTATAGGACTTTTCTATTAATTTTTAAAAACCTTCATTTTGATAAATTAACATTACCCAGCTCGAACATAGGTACAAAGTAAAAAGTTATTGCTATTATCAAATGCAAAACTAGGTTTTTGGGTTGCCCAGATAGAAGAATTTATGGAATAAATTTAAACCAGTGTTTAAAAATTTTACGTTGGAAACCCTATGGACAATTCTTCAGGACAAATCAATCCAAACCTGGCCCCCCCCTCCCCCTGCTCCAGCCGCCTTATCTAGTGTTGCCCCTACAGGGGTTGACCAGCCAGCTGGCCCCGGGATTAAGAATTGGGTTCAGAACACAGAGAGGGAAAGAGAAAGAAACCAGTTGTGCGCCAGCTCTCACAAGGAGAGGATGAAGACATTCGCCAACTCCCCACAGTGGTAAGAAGCAGTCAGTCCAAAGGAATAGAAACTGCTTGGACGGATTGGAGCTGTGGGAAAACAACATGCTGAAGGAGATTTGTTACCAGAACAAAGATGGTGCCAGAAAAGATATGTTGCCTAAGGGGATATGTTGCCTGAGGAGATACCATGTTGAAGGTATCTAGCCAAGGAGTATCCAGCCAAGGACTATCTGGCCAAAGGAGTATCCGGCCAAAGGAGTAACCCATCACTGAGTGCAAATCTGTGTCTCTTGACTTTAGTTATTTATTCCTTCATTTTGTTTCTTTTTAATATAGATGTTCAACTACTTTGTTCTATTATTTGTGTGTGACTTGAAGACTACTAGAGTATTGTTACCCCCCTTTGGGGGTATCCTTTCAAATATAACAATAGGTTGAACATGAAAAAGGTGTTTAGACAAATTTGAACACTTTTTCAGATGCCTTTCTGAATATCATATGAATTTTTATCAAGAGATGGACTTGTCAAAACTGATGGGTTAAAAACAATTATTTTATTTTTCATATTTAATTTAGCCGTACATTGTCAAAAGTTAAAATTCTTTATTCTTCTTAGGATTTTAAGTCCCCTGAAGAGTTGTCTAAATATCTTCTAAAACTTGAAAAAAACCAGAAGGTTATATTCCTTAATAAATGTGATTGATTTGTGACCCAGAGGTTGCTACTTTTTCCAAATCATCCATAGAGTTGCGAATTGACGATTTAATATTGCAGACACCGCCGTAAGGCCTAAAAAAAAGTATTTCAAAAAATTAAATATGATACATCTTTTTTTGAAAATTTCATGCTGAATTTAGAAGTTACTTAGTTCCGGTTTTTACTTGTTAATGTTTTTGATGAGATTTTTAGCTCTAACTCTCTCAATTTTCAATTTTTTTTAATTTCCAAGAAAATGAAACATGAAAATAAAAAAAACATTTTTGGTGGCCTTACATTGAATACTCCGATATTAAATCGTCAAATCGAAACCATCTGAAGGATATTGAACTATTGCAATTTTTTTAAATTGAAAACACAGTGACCTCCTGTGGGGGGTGGCTCAATTCCAATATTGATCACCCCTATTCCTTATGTAAATTTTTCACCTCAAAAATTAATGTATGATGCAAATGAATCTTGATTATCTAAAAACAGATCAAATACTCCATTTAAATCAAATGGGTTTACCAGTTCTTAATAAAAAATTGTTGTTAACTTGAAGAAAATGCGTTTCTTTTCACATTTTTCACAAGACACCAAAAAATAATGTTTTTAATTTAATAATTTTACAAAATGAATAAATTTCATTTCTAAACATGAGCTTACTAAGATTTTCTAAAATAATACTAAGGAAATCTTTGAATTAAATTATTAGTTTTTGCATATAAGAAAATATAATCCATATATTTAGGAATATAACAAATATCTAGAGTGGAAAGGGACATACTCTATCAAATCTTTTTATCATTTAGTGAGCCAGGTATAATTTGTCATGTGAACCAATGTGTAACTTGTGTAACAAATAGCAGGTTTGCCTTCAATAATAAATTATAGGGTGCAAAACAATTAATAAAAATCTTTCTCTGAAATGTTTGGACCACACAAAAAGGGCGAAAACATCTTACCAAAGTTGTATTTAATGGTTTGGTTGGACCATTTTAAAGGAATTGAGTCTTTGCTACAAACTCTGCTTTTCTAAACCCTATATCTTTAGATTCCAATGTCGTAGACCTTAGTAGGGCAGTTTAATAGCTGTGGTTTAAAGTCTCTCTTCTTAAAGTTGTTAACATGTATCTGGTTGTTATAAAAACAATGCAGTAGGTTTGTTGTTTTGCTTGTAGACCAAATTGAATCGTTCATATCTACTTTATAATTCGAGAATTAATTATTGTGCATTTTAACAATATAAACATTCAAAACTATTTGATTGTTAATGCAACTAGTCAATCTTAGATAGTATTACAAATTTTATATAAAACTGTTTCTAATTATCATTTTACTTCTAGAGATTATGTGATTTATGCNTTTTTTTTATTTTAAACTACCCTCACTATTACCGACTTGTTGAAACTTTTTTATCAACATTTATTCAAGAATTTATTTTTCAGTTCCCCACTACCTTCACTAACACCGACTTGTTGAAACTTTTTTTATCAACATTTATTATTTTTTTTTCAATTTCAAACTACCGTCCCTTCCAAGACAAAAAGCTTAAGCAAGTCTTAAAGAAAAAAAAGAGGCAATTTAAAGGTTTTTAAAGTTGAATTTCTTGCTTAATATTTTTTTTTTATAATATTTTACAAAAAATTCTTATACTTTTATAAGAAAAGTATCTGCTAACGACCACATATACCTATGTTAATAAAAAAATTCACCTATTTTTCAGCAAAAAAAGGCATTTTATACGTTCACAGGTAAGTTACCCCCCTCCTCTTCTAAATCCATGTTTGATGTCCAAATATGACAAATGTCACACCATTGGAAAGCTCTTAAACTATACTTTTAGAATTTGTAATACAATTTTAATTATGAAAATATTGAAATTTTTTTTGCTAATTTTTTTTTAAAATAACCCGATGTGTAATTAAGAAAAACAATAAATGTGCAAAATTCTTTTGGCGGGTTTTATGAATATAATTTGCAAAAATTTAGTTTCAATCTGTCTTCTAATACTTTCTAAAAGGTTAAAAGCTTTTCAAAATTAGACAACTAAAAGTGGGTTAAAACAAAGATTTAGTTTGTTTTGGGAAAAAGTATTTGTTTATGCAGTGTGCCTGAGGGCTCAGGCAGTTAGTATAAATTCCCCGTTTTAGACCTAAAGGGGGTGTGACAAATTGCGTGCCCCTAGCAGGAATAGGTTTAATAAATATCTTTAATTTCAGTCCAAATTGGGAGTGATGATGAAAACTTAAGATCCTGATAGATATTTTAGAAACAAAATTAGCAAAACATTTAATTGTTTAAATCGTGAAAAAAAGCTGACTCGTTGTCGTCAGTCGATTTAATTTTGGTCGATTTTAGTTGCCTTTGATTGGTTAATATGTTCCCAGAGCCAGAGGAAAAAATTAAATTGGTTAAATTTTTAGATCATCTAGGAAAAATTAACTTTTTTTCTTAAAAATTAACTTTTTTCTTATATCTATGGTTTCTGTTGGTAGCAAAAATTTGCATGAAAATTAATTTAGCTGAAGCAAGTGCAAACTATGCACAAACTTGTGTCAACATGTGTCCGCAAATTTCGTCTATGCTTGCACACCCCGATTTGTGAGGATTTCTTCAACGCCAGGAAGTGCAAAAAATGCCAAATTTGGGGCAAAGTAAAAAATTTGCGCGCAGCTATTTTTCTGTATAAATGTTGGAAACCCTACTCAGTACTCACACAGGGTGTCCCAATAAACACTGGGATATTGTATTTAATTTCCGATAATTGAAAAAAAAATGTAAAGAGCAACGACTTTTTAAGCAATTATTTAACAAATTTTTAAAGTTTCCATTCAGGATATTGATTAAAGTCTTTCAATAAGAAAAACTAAGGTTAGAACTTTTGTGTGAACTTTCGTTAATTTTGAACGCTTGATCACGAAATCCAATTTGGGCACTTTTTGATTAATTCCTTAATTTTAGTTATCTCTGCAGGGTATGACCAGCATGGTATATCGAATAGGAATGAAATTGATCGCTATAAGTCTGCTGAAACGATGCAGAATGTAGATTGAAGCTCGACCCTGAGATTCATAACACAACAGTTCTGACTAAACTTGTTTCGCAACTACCAATGTTGCTCTAAAGTAAATCAGCTAATACATCGTGTAGTCTTCCGTCGGGCCTAACAGTAACCTCCTGTACTATTAGATCTCTCCATTATTATGAACAAACAGGATAATCTTCAAGTTTTATTAAGGCTTAGAACTTCAATCTGATAAAATAAACGAGTTTTGGGCTACAGTAAAAGCTTTAGATAACTGGTTCTGCTTTCAGAGATCCTTAGAAACAGACAACTTGAGTCAGGGTGAATACCGGCCAATCAGGGGTACTTCATAGACGTTTGATCGCAGCGTAAGCTCTGGGAAACAAAATTGTTCTCATGAATAATACTACTGCAGATCATAAACCTTACAACCTTTCTCAGTAAAATGTCGTCTTAAACCAAATCATACCCTCGGAGCCAAACCCAACATTTCTCCGACAAATAGATACAACTCATACAAAGTGAAACACGTTTTAATAGTAAATGCTTAAAATCCGTGATTATTTCTGTAAGCAACAAAGATTGTAACCAAACGAATATTTATTTTTCAGAAGTAATTATCATTTTATTCTGATCACAGACCCTCATTTTTTACTTCTACCAGCAAATAGTAAGAACCTTTAAAAATCAAACATTGTTCATAATTAGATATTTCAATTTATTGTTAAAATGTACTTATTTCTAGGTTAGAAATAAACTTCATTGTGCATTGTCAAATATGGATTAGTATTGAAAAGTGAGGAAATTGACCAGCTTTCAAACACTTTTGACTCTTCATTGGGATTATCAACCCTTCAGTGGGATTATCAACCCTTCAGTGGGATTATCAACCCTTCAGTGGGATTATCAACCCTTCAGTGGGATTATCAATCCTTCAGTGGGATTATCAACCCTTCAGTGGGATTATCAACCCTTCAGTGGGATTATCAACCCTTCAGTGGGATTATCAACCCTTCAGTGGGATTATCAACCCTTCAGTGGGATTATCAACCCTTCAGTGGGATTATCAACCCTTCAGTGGGATTATCAACCCTTCAGTGGGATTATCAACCCTTCAGTGGGATTATCAACCCTTCAGTGGGATTATCAACCCTTCAGTGGGATTATCAACCCTTCAGTGGGATTATCANTGAAAAAAAAATAACTGAATCCCTAATTCTATTTGTATTCCATCAAAAAAAACATAACAATGCCGCAACCTGCGCGGTGGCTCGTCAGTACCACCTAGCTGACAAGATGCAAAACACAAAATATCATTTTATTTCATAATTCAGTGAGATTTAAATTAAATTGATAAAACATGGGATTATTGCAACTTACAAGAAAAATTCAATATATGTTTTGTGGCAATTAAAATTAAGAACTAAATTTATTGTGCAACAACAAAAGGTTCGCAAAAATGTATTTTATACTTACATGTGCACTGGAATAATCTACAGTCTCTACTGTGCAGGGTGATACTATAGGATGTACTGAGCCCTATACATATATCCAAAATCAATAAAAAGATCCAATATCTAATAAATTAAACTGTGGTTGTATTGCGCTAGATAGTGCTATCTGCTAATCTACTGTTAATCCTTAACGGAAACTTTTAATCAAAACATTTAATTGTTTAAATCGCGAAAAAAAGCTGACTCGTTATAGTCGATTTTAGTTGCCTTTGATTGGTTAATGTTCCCAGAGCCAGAGGAAAAAATTAAATTGGTTAAATTTTTAGATCATCTAAAAGAAATTGACTTTTTTCTTATATCTATGGTTTCTATTGGTAGCAAAAATTTGCGTGAAAATTAATTTTGCTGAAGCAAGTGCCAACTATGCACAAACTTGTGTCAACATCTGTCCGCAAAATTGTGTCTATGCTGCACACCCCGATTTGTGAGGATTTTTTTCACGCCAGGAAGCGCAAAAAATGCCAAAGGAATTGAGTCTTTGCCACAAATTCTAATTTTCTAATCGCTATATCTTTGGAACCAAATGTTGCAGACCTTGGATATTTCAAACTATGAATTCTGTTAGATCAAATAATCTGAGTTTGAAATATCAAAGGTTTACAACATCGAGTTCTAAAGATATTGAGGTTTAAATATTTGATTTTGTTCCAAAGACTCAATTCCTTTGGGGCAAAATAAAAAATATGCGCGCAGCTATTTTTCTGTATAGATGTTGGAAACCCTACTCAGTACTCACACAGGGTGTCCCAATAAACACTGGGATATCGTATTTTCGATAATTGATAAAAAATGTCAAGAGCAACGACTTTTTAAGCAATTATTTAACAAATTTTTTAAGTTTCCGTTCAGGATATTGATTAAAGTCTTTAAATAAGAAAAACTAAGGTTAGAACTTTTGTGTGAACTTTCGTTAATTTTGAAAGCTTGATCACAAAATCCAATTTAGGCACTTTTTAATTTAACACTTAATTTTAGTTATCCCTGCAGGGCATGACCAGCATGGTATTTCAAATAGGAATGAAATTAATCCCTAGGTCTGCTCAAACGATGCAGAATGTAGATTGAAGCTCGATCCTGAGATTCATAACACAACAGTTCTGACTAAACTGTTTTCATGGATATTACTTCTGAAGACCATAAACCTTACAACCTTTCTCAGTAAAATGTCGTCTTAAACCAAATCATACCCTTGGAGCCAAACCCAACATTTCTCCGACAAATAGACGCAACTAGTGAAAAGTGAAACACGTTTTAATATAGTAAATGCTTAAAATTCGTAATTATTTCTGTAAACAACAAAGCTTTGTAACCAAACAAATATTTCATTTTTCAGAAGTAATTATCATTTTATTTTGGCCACAGACCCCTCATTTTTTTACTTCTACCAGCAAATAGTAAAAACCTTTAAAAATCAAACATTGTTCATAATTAGATATTTCAACGATTACATTAAATACCTTTTTTGTACCATCTTCCACCATTAAAATGACTGTAAGCATAATTACAAGTGGCATTCCATTTAAAGAGGGCCATCCCCAATTTGCAACGGTTCCGTAAACCTTTGACTAAATAAGGATGTCAGACACATCCTTATCATCTACTGAAACACTTTTGATTGGTAATCACTTTGTTCTATATTTTAGAAATATTAAAAGTTACTTTCTAGAAGTGGTAGAAAATAAAAATTTACTTTCAAATGTTTGAAACCCGTTTTTAACGTAAAAAAGACAATATTTTTATGGACGCTAGTATTGAATCAGCTGTTTTGAGTTCAAACTGTACGCCGAACCTACACAAGGTTTTAGAACGATTCAAGAGCTATTGTATGCATGGAGAGAGAGCTTACTTTTACATAAACTATAGTCAAGGATAGCAGTGGGACAGATGATAAATCCCTTAATGAATATCATGTAGAGAGATTTATCCGTTAAAAGATGCCAGCCTAGAGAACATGCTTGCATGATTTGAACATGTGGAAGGTTTGAACTTATGGAAAACCAAAACCACCAATGGACCGAGAATTCTATTTTAAATTCAAGCCAATAGGCATGCGGCTTGACACTAGGAAGAAGAAAATAGGATCGGTCTGGGCTAAATCTGAAATGAAAGTTAGTTATCGAATCAGCTGTTTTGAGCTCACCGGGTTTTAGAACCATTCAACAGTTATTTAACCCTATCCCTGCTGGGGTACTTGAAAACCAGGATACGCTGGGGGCGGGGTCAATTTGACCCCCCCCNTGATATATTCAGTTTAAAGGTTTGTGTGGATATTGATATATTCAGTTGCTCAAACTAAACTATATCCTCTACAAAATTTGTGCCCTGAGGACATCTATTAAATTTTCATTTTAAAAAGGTTTAACAAGTATTTATCAAAATAAATATCCAAATTTCAATAATTCAAATTTCTTAGACCTGGGATCAAGATGAAAATCAAGCTAAGGATTGTAAAAAAAGCTATCTATGAGTAAAGAATATGAAACTAATTTTAATCAACTAAAGTACAAATAAATAGTTTATCATGCACTAGATTAACCCCGCTTTTAATTCTAATATTTATATTACAATATAAACACAAGGGGTATATACAGGGGGAGGGAAGGGGCAGCCCCCTCCGAAATATCATTTTTCTCTCTTGAAATCAAAATGAATCCTGTATACGCCCCTGTAATATGCAAATGACGAATTTCAACCCTGGTTATTCAATATTTTTGGCCAAAACCATTTGATGGTTATGGTTCTACGGCCATTATAAAGAATTTTCTCATAAATTAATATGATTATTATTATATTATTATTATTATTATGAACATAATTAATTTTACCGTCATGATAATGATCAAGAAAACAACGAAAAATTATGATTAGAGTTATAAACAAAATTGCCATAAACAATTTTACGACCTAAAAAATTAATATTTTCAAAAAGACGATTTTAAGGAAAATATATTTTCTTTATAAAAAATTTATAAAAAACATGCTATTAAGAGAATGTGAGTATACAAATAGAGAGAGGGGGATAGGATTTGCGTACACATGTTACTGTCACACATTAGAGTAAACAGATTATAAACTATTGTTAATTTAACTTAAACCAGTGCGTAAACTCAATCCCCCTCACCTTACATCTAATAACTTTGACAAAAGTATACCTGGTAAGAAAAACAATCCAGTAGAAGAAGTTAAAGATAAAGAAAAGAATGGGGAAAAGGCCAAGAAAGAATAAATCCAATCTGGCGGTTCGGATCTTCTCCTAAAAAAGAGAAAAGCTAATTACGTTTTGTTGTTCCTCCGACTAGCTATAAGTTGATAGCGTTGCCCACTAACCATGAAATCGTTTTACCCCGGGGTACCCAATACCCATACGTTCCCTAAACAAATGTCCAGCCAATTTGGTCCAGCTATATAGCGAACAATTATACAAGTGAGAACCAGAAATCTGTAGAAAAATGAAGATGAGTTTGCAGCAATATTTATGTTCGGAAATTATCTAATTTTGCAGGCAGGCTGGAATCTTGACAACAACATTTTTCATGTTCATTTACGAATACGGGTATTCCAGAAAAAAGAAAGCATGCAACATTAAAACCAAAAACGAATTTATGAATTATCGATTAACTTCGATTGATTTTTAAAAATTTTTTAGACATGCAAAAAGTCTGAAAGATCTCTAAAAAAATCCAAAATGTCTAAAGGAAAAATCTAAAAGGTCTTACAGATAAAAAAAAATCCGAAAGATCTTTAAAAAGTCTGAAAGGTCTAAAAAGTCCGAAAGATCTCTAAACAGTCTTAAAAGTTCAAAAAGTTTGAAAGATCTTTAAAAAGTCTGAAAGGCCTAAAAAGTCCGAAAGATCTCTAAAAAGTATAAAAGGCCTAAAAAGTCCGAAAGATCTCTAAAAGTCTAAAAGATCTAAAAAGTCCGAAAGATCTCTAAAAAGTCTTAAAGGTTTAAAAATTTCGAAAGATCTCTAAAAAGTCTATAAGGTCTAAAAAGTCCGAAATATCTCTAAAAAGTCTAAAAGGTCTAAAAAGTCCGAAAGATCTCTTAAAAGTCTAAAAGGTTTAAAAAGTCCGAAAGATCTCTTAAAAGTCTAAAAGGTCTAAAACGTCCGAACGATCTCTAAAAAGTCTAAAAGGTCTAAAAAGTCTGAAAGATCTCTAAACATAAATGTGGAACTAACATCTACTTTTTTATTCTACAGAAGTTTGCTCCATCACCATCACTGATAATTTTAGATCTTTAAACATTCTTAAAGATCTAAAAAGTCTGAAAGATCTCTAAAAAGTCTATACGGTCTAAAAAGTCCAAAAGATCTCTAGAAAGTCTAAAAGGTCTAAAAAGTACGAAAGATCTGTAAAACACCTGAAATCTCTCTAAAAAGTCAAAAAGATCTAAAAAGTCTAAAAGATCTAAAAAGTCTGAAAATTCTCAAAAAAACACATAAAACATGAATTTTGTTCTCACTAGATCAGATTCATTAGATTTGACATTGAGGTCAATTCCTTCAAACCATGAATTCAATCGTTGGACTCGTCTTTTATACTTCGCCTGATGAAAAATAAGAAAACTTTATTCCATTTAAAAGAAATTAAAGGGTGATACGGAAATAAATCTCATCTTAGGAAAAGTTAATTTAAAACTAGAAAAGTGCACATTCCTTTTTTTTGTAATCTATTGCAACTTTTGAACTCCAATAAGGTTTTGATTGTGAAAAAAACATAATAATTTGGAAAGAGAGGAATTCTGAATTATGTGTATAAAGATTATAACATTCAAGCCATTAAAAATAATATGCTATGTTTGATACAAATTAAAATATGTTTATAAAAGGTATCTTTTTCCTAATTATAGTTTTACTTTCTTAAGAATTAAAAAGATTAGGCGGATTTTTTTTATTTTATTTTCGTAGATTTTCAACTAAACAATTTATTGCTAATGGATTTTTTGTAAAAACATAAAGGGTGTGTTTAATGACATCGAACAGAATTCCATATAACAGAATTCAATACAAAATAGAACTAAACCCGAAATAATTTTAATACGCATTCGATATCCAAGAAAGACGAATAAAATTCAACCAATCAGCGTATGATGTAAAGATGTACTCTTTAACTTTTGAAAAACCGTTTTTTTCTGGTGTTAATTGTGTCATATCAATTGAACTAAACATCGATTAAATAAATGTAAGTTTTGGATTAATTTTTGTTAAGACTAGCTTAAAATGATAATAGTCCTAAAATGTGATAAAATATATTTTTAATAGGTTCATATTAATATGATTAAATTTATTTACTTTAATTCAATCGGATATTAGTTCAATCGATATAGCATTGTATCTGTAATTGTTATCAAACGTAACTTTTATACAGTTATAGGGATATTAAAAAAAAGAGGATTAACAATAAAATCAAAAGTGTGTACATTGGATATTCAGATTAAGCGATCGGGATTAAGGATATCTCATTCTAAAGTTTTCAGCTCTGATTTGATATATTTATTCTGGAAAGCAAGTGAAAAAGAATTCCGAAATATTTTCCCAAGGAAAGAAATATAAAAAAGAAAAATGTTATCACAAAAAATATTAAAAAAAATATTAAATTTGCCGCACACACTCGATTTAACTAAAAAAGGAAGAAAAAACTTACTGTCATATTTTGCTCAATGATTTTCATCTGAGCCGCTTCATTTCCACCTTTTTCGGGGGGACACATTAATCCTAAACATAATAAGGAAACTTCTCGGGTTTTAAATATATATTTGGAAGAAATTAGATTTAATCCAAGAGTCAAATCTCTTTAATTCATTATTCAATGGCGTACTTAGGTCGGTTGTAAACAAATTCCAAACAAATTATTTCATTTTTATCTCTTCAACATATTTTTTTATCGTCATCAGCATCATCATCATCATCATCAGCATCATCATCATCATCATCATCATCATCATCATCATCATCTGTATCCGCCCCGAGCAAATTTGTTCAAAAATGTTCTTCCATTAGAAACCCTACTAGATATTTTGCAGTTTATTAAAATGTGAAAAAGTTGTCACCAATAAATTCTCCGAGCTCAATTTCCCCATCTCCGTCGACATCTCCCAGCTCAAATATAGTCTCAATCTGAACACAAGTCTGTTTTTAATCACAAAGGCAAACACAAAATATTTGACCTCATGGTGGTTGCTTTATTTACTCTAACTAAATTAATCTGAATAATAAAAAATATTCAAAAACAGAAAACTTCTCGGAGGTCCAATTTTTTTTCAAAAGATGGCAGATAAAGGCAAAGTGACACTACATGCACAGATGACAATGCCGGATTCACAACGGTACCCTTAAAAGCTTTGTTTGATCACGTATTAATGTATTAATTTTAAAAACCAGAATTATTTTCTATTATGGTTTCTCTACTAAAGTGACTTGCACACTTTCAAACCTTGAAAAACAGCAATATCTTCCACATTAATGATCCAATTCAGGTTTTAATCCTTGCTCGGAGTGCTACTTAATATTACGCTTACAATTTGTATTCGAGTGGCTTATCATGGTTGACTCTGAACTTTAAAAGATATCCAAAGTAATTAATTTAATCTAATGGATTATATCATATACGGATTAGTACTTTCTAAGTGGATTAACAATACAAAAATTCCGAACTCTATAATAAATACCTCCTCCTGGGTGAATTCATCGCCAGCTAGCATCTCTCGTTTAGATAGTTTTCCATCTCCGTTTACGTCAATCTTCTGGAACGCATTCTTGACCTGCACCAGACAATTCATTATAATAATAACAATAATGATAATAATACTTATTATAATCATTGTAGAACTACTGTCAAGTGAACAAGACAAGCTACTGTAGAATACTCATTTCATAGAATATACAATGAGTTTATATAGTAAGGTGGATTGTTCTAGAACCATATATTTTAAAAATGATTACTTACATCTGTGACGGATTTAAAATTCTTCTTTTTTCTAAAGTTTGGTGGAGTACAAGTCTTAATCTTGGATTGGAAAAGGATGACGGCATATTCTAAATATAAAAATATGCGAAACAAATATTTAAAATCAAAGATCAGGAAAAAGTAAATCGTATACTTGTAATGTTTAACATTTAAAAAAACTATATTTAACTTTTTAATGGATCTAAATTTTAAATTTTAGCATCGCTTTTAATGTTCTAAAAGAAATATGCAAAACAAAAATTCAAAATCTAAGACCTATTAAGAATTAACCCGACGAAAAACGCTGGCAATCGATGAAAAAATATGATTTGAAATTGTTAGAATTTCATACCAAAAAAGATTTTAGTTATTTTTCAGATAATTTTATGGATTTGAAAAGATTAAAAATTTTTGTCAATAAAAATAAAATAAAATTAGCAAAATTAGAAAAAATAAAGAATACAAAAAAACAATGAAATAGAAAAGCATCGAATGATTTGTGGAAAAAAGTACTGATAGTTAATGAACTAGATTGAACAACTTATCATTTAATTTTTACTTAAAATATTTATCTTTTTTCATGTATCTGATTTTTAAAATATTTTTGAAAAGTTATTTTTGCATTTTAAAGTCTTTAAAACTTGTACACACCAGCGCTTCTAAAATCCCTTTTTATTCGTCTTCTGCAGATTTTCATTTAAAAGTTTTGCTGAAGGACTTAAAAAACCAAATATTTTTGTGATAATAAATATTGCTAAACTCACCAATAAGAGCTCCAAATACAAAAACAATGCAGACAATGATGAATCCTTCAATAGCTGTCAATCCTTCAGCTTTAGGGATATTGTTGGTTATACTGAAAATTTTATTTTTATTTAAAGTGAATAAAAAAGTAATTTAAGAATTGTGGTCTGCCATTGTTGTGCTTTAAACATCAAATATATTAAGAATTGTGTTTAAGGTTTTCTTACTTTATTCATTCTCTGCGCTATAAATAATATAAAAACAGTAAAATGCAGACCACATTTTAGAATTTTTTTTCATGGATCTAAATTAAAATTTTAACAACATTTTAAAAAGTTATTTTAGCATTTTACAGTCAACACCTCCACGTTATAATTATAAAAGCATAACAGGACGCTGAATTAGGTATTTTTTGCTAGCTTAATATTTAATTAAACATATGTCTAACACCATAATGATAGATAGATGCCGAAATCTATTTCAATGATAAAAGACGACTTTCTAAGATCTCTTTTAATGGTCGAGAAATTTTGCTTCGTTGAGAATATCATTTTATAAAGTACGATAAAATTTAATAAAGCTTAATGTAAAAACATTGTACTTTTAAAAACAACAATAAAAAATTAGTAAATGAACTTGAAGAGTCTTTTTTTACAAAAATTATTGAAACAAATTCCATCGAAAAACAAATAAAAATGTTTCCTGTTAAAGATATTTACAAGAACAAGAAAAACTGTAACAAGAATCGTCATCCTAAAATAAAAGATTATTGCTATAAAAAATATGTTTTTTCAAAATATATCAAAGCATCAAAATATCAAAATATCAAACAGTTTAACTGAAAATTAAGTCTCCTTGAAATAGTGTTTCTAACCCAAGTGGATTTTACTTGCACAGAATTGCTACCCTGTAAACTCCGCCACGCAATTCCGCGCAATTCCGTACAGTTTTGCGCAATTCAGCGCAAAGGGATTTTGATTGGAAACCCTACAGCGTGAAGATGGTGTCCGGGAAAAAGGGTTATTTTAGATTTAAAAGAATGATTTTAGACCTATTAAGTGTCTCTAGATAATGGGTAGAGTACAAGCAAAGACTTAATTTTATAAAGTTTTAAAAATTCAATAAAATATGATGTGAATTCAATTCATGACAAGGTTCATTGCTTATGAGAAATTGTTGGAAATAATCAAAAAAGCTTTGATTGCTCTTCAGCTTTGTTNTTGCTCTTCAGCTTTGCTCGGCAATTATATGGTTTAGAGACACATTATCGATTGCTCTTCAGCTTTGTTCAGCAATTATATGGTTTAGAGAAACATTATTGGTCTTTCTGAAATCTATTATTCTTGATTATTAAAAAGTTTATTCAAGTTGATTCAAGTAGAAAGACCATCAATTCTCAAAGAATCATTAAGCAAAATTAAGAAAATTGACATGCAATGGAAAACCTCGTCAAGAAAATCAAGACACCTAACTCTCCATGAACCATCATTGAGCAAAATTAAGAAAACACACCCATGCCAGGAACTATCATAAAGAAACTCTAAAGTTTAGGTAGAAGTAAATTGATAAGGGTTAGAGGAACATTTAAAAAATGAGATTTTCATGTTTTTCTCTTTGATAAATTGATTATATTTAAATTCGGAATTTCAATAAAAGAGACATGAAGATTTATGTTACAAAACCAATGGTGGAAATTATAATATCAGACACGGACATTGGACTTGGTGGGTTACTCAAATACAACTAACCTTCCCGGAACACTCTCAGGAGGAACAAGAAAACTTATCCAGGATACAATAACAAACATTCCTAAATACAATGATCTTTGGAACGTCAATGAATGAGAGGAACGTTTGAACAATCCTCATAAACTCTATTTTTCTAATCCCTATATCAGTGCAACATGATAACGTAAACAATTAGTATTCTAAACTATGTAATCTAACATTAATAATATATTGAAATATCACAAATTGTACGACATCAGGTTGCAGAGTTATAGAGATTAGAAAATTAGAACTTGTGGCGAGTATTCAATTCCTTTTAAATAACAGAGAAGAGCACTTTTGAAAGAGATCGAGTTAGATTTGGAAATATTGAAATATGTCAGCTGTCAGATTAATGCTCTCACATTTTTGAACTTTGACAAAAATTATTTGAGATGAAGGGAGTGACCGGTAGTTGAACTGAATATCCAGTGTTGTGGAAACTTCTTTCGGATTCATTTGAGACATATTAAACTTTTTACGTCTGTAGTTTATTGTAGAACTTTTTTACATTTTATGTCGTCGTTATTTAATAATGTAAAAAAACTAATTCTGAAACCGTATCCACCCCCAAAGTAGGAGTTTTGAACTTCTAATTTGCGCTCAATTTCAGGATTTACAGATCTTTAAAAAGTTTAATATGTCTCAAATGAATCCGAAAGTTTTCCACAACAATGCATACTCAGTTCAACTACCTTACATAGCCGGTCACTCCCTTTAAGGAAAGATTTGACAGAAACTGTTCTAATCAAATTATTTCATATTATTCAAAAGTTCCGATTTATATGATTTTGTAACTTTATTAACAATTTTTTACCTGCCGGAAAATAATATGTAATGATATAATGGGACATTTTTCTTTTAAGAACCAGCTCAAATCCAGTCACAGAAAAGTTCCCTAAAGCAAAAGGATGAAAACTTTAATTTTTTTTATTATTTAATGGTGGATTTTGGCCTTGTTTGGATACTTTTACTAACAAAACTAATTTATTTTATTAAATTAATTTATAAATGAAAGTTTTAAGGCGAAGCGATGGATTAAACAGAACTCCTAATGGTGTGTCTGTATGTCCTTGGTGTTTAGCCTATACATTTGCTCATGATTTTGGTTCATAAACGTATTCTTTTTACTACCTTTAAAGGCTACCTTTAAATTCCACACTTTCAAGCTAAGCCGAGTGCTTATCTGTAAGAAGGAATACAAACGCAGCTAAGATGACAGTTCTTAGGTGTGTGTGTGCAAGTGCTCACTCTCATGAGGGAGGGGTGGCTGCTCTCTGGGTTTTGGAATTTCTCCTGGATTTTGAAGTAAAATTTGAAAATTTATCTGACCTTTTATAAAAAGGGTCCTTTAAAACCGAAAATTGAAAAATGGCTCTTTTACCCCTTTTTTACTGTCTTTTTTCAAATATTATAAGGAAAAAATCGCACATTTCAGTCCAAGTAGCCGGTTGCGATCATATAGTTATGATTAGCCAAACTGTCGACATTTGTTTTAGCTAATACATTAAAGATTATTGGTAAATGTAAAAAAATATTTTATTTAGCTAGATACATAAAGGTTTCATTTCTATTTACATCTCAGCATCTTTATATGTTATCTTAGTTCCAAGTTTTTTTTTCAGAATAATCCAATTTTTTGCCGAAAAAAATCTTTAATTGATTGGTGCCATAAAAAGATGCGCTTTTACTCAACACTCACACGATAAAAATTGTTCTATGTCAAATTAGAGCCTTCTATATGGCCCGCACCATACCAAAAATCATCAAACTATTGATATATCTGAGGAAAACTTTGTTTTTTCTTAGTGAAAATGAAGCCTATTTAGACTGAAATTTGCATTTTTTTCCTGCAAATATCTGTACGAAGACAGTAAAAAAGGGGTAACAGAGCCATTTATTCAATTTTCGGTTTTTAAGTACTCTTTTAAAAGGACTTTTCATAAAAGTTTGGATGAATTTTCACATTTTACTCCAAAACCCTGGGAGCAATTCCCAAACCCTGGGTCCAATTCCCAAACCCTGAGANGTTTTTAACCTGTTAAAACTACAGAATGTTTTTAACCTGTTAAAACTACAGAATGTTTTTAACCTGTTAAAACTACAGAATGTTTTTAACCTGTTAAAACTACAGAATGTTTTTAACCTGTTAAAACTACAGAATGTTTTTAACCTGTTAAAACTACAGAATGTTTTTAACCTGTTAAAACTACAGAATGTTTTTAACCTGTTAAAACTACAGAATGTTTTTAACCTGTTAAAACTACAGAATGTTTTTAACCTGTTAAAACTACAGAATGTTTTTAACCTGTTAAAACTACAGAATGTTTATCTTCTTCACTTAATTCATTTATAAGAATACTGTAGTCCAACACTGATCTAAACAAAGGAATTATTTACGTCAGCAGAGGGGTTTCAAGAAAATAATGACGACCCTTCCAGTCTAGGGGGTTGGAGGGAAGATTTTGAACCATGAGGGGGGGGGGAATCTGTTGATCTTGAAATCGTTAACGAATGGTAAAAAAACGTTCATGAAGAAAAAAAGAACTAACAAATCTGTTTTAAAATAAAGGTGACTTTCGTTAATTTTTCTGCTTAAAATTGCATAAAACTTAGAGAATATAAAAGATAAACTTTCACTTGTTTTTTTTTAAATATTTTGATATTTTTAATGTTGTTCTCTAATTTCCCCGTAATTTTTCATGAGCTAACCGTTAACGATTTATAAAATATCTTGTGTTGACGTATTTGATATGACTAGCCTTATTGGGCGCTTCGCGCCCATCTTCTAAATTAATTGTTCTCTTTGTGTACATCGTAAAACAAAACAAAAATAATTCGCGGATTTTCACAAAAAATTTCGTGGATTTTCAAAATTTTCAACAATTTTATGAAGATCGAATTTTGATGGAGGCAAATATTTGAAATTATGATCATTAATAAACCTTCCCTGGGATAACGCGAGGTGCCACAAAAAATTTGGACCCGATCGGTTCAGCCGTTTTGACGTTTATTGGATACAAACAGACAAAACAAACAAACACCCACCCAGACAAGCCAAATTTATATATAGATTGAGATCGTTAACGAGCGTTAAACTTCGGAAAATAACGGAATATACAGTTAACGAAACGGAACGGATTTATGAAAAGTTGGTCTTTAAACGGTTTAAGCTGACCTTTAACAAACTGGTTTGTGCCCCGTCAAATGTACAAAAATCCTTTTAAAAAATGACCTGATTGCCTCGGCATCTGCGACAAACTCATCTTTAAAAACTATATTTGTGTTGTCGTAGTTAAAGGATCCAACTTGAAACTTACAAACCTAAAAATTTAAGAAAAAGGTAAAAATAAAAATATTTCTAACACATAATTAAATTCTAATTGCAAGGAATTACTTAGGTTACTTTCTAAATTATTGTTTGCAAACCTATGTCTTATTTTGTTCTTTCTTCAGAAATTATTTTTCCGTTTAAAAAGTGGTTAAAGGAATAAAATTTTCTAATCTTTGCAATCTGATGATATGTAAACCTATAACATTCCAAACTTAGACAATTTGATCTAACAAAGTTCATAGTTTGAAATGTACACGGTCTGGGACATTGGGTTGATTTAGAGAGTAGACACTTAGATTTTATGACACAGACTCAATCCTCCTAATTTTCTAAATCTGAGAAAAATCTGCCAACAACGCGCGCGATGGGAGGATCGAGTTGACTGTAATCCTAAGGTTGGAAGCTCTCACTCTAAAATCGATGAGAGATTGAGAGATTCATCAATTACCTCTTGAAAACTAAAACAAGTGCTTCGCGGTTATGTGCATGTCTCGGGTTACAAAAAAGTATAAATGATTTATTAGGGTCGACCCCGTCTTGAAAATTGATGCCACTTTTCATAGCAGACAGAACAATTGGAATATACTATTATAGAGTTTTTGCAGAGAAATTCTTGACCTGAACATCAAGGGGAAAATTATCGAAAGACATCGGACAAATCCACGTTATCCTACACGCTACTGCGTATACCAACTCAAGTTTTCTAAAAAATAAAGAATTATTAGATTGCTTTTAGTTTTTAAACAAAACCTTGTTTCCTTCTGACCTGTTTAACCATAGACCTTCTAGTTTTTTCAAGACGGCCAAGGTTTCAAATTCCTTAAGGTTGAGAATTTCAATGTCTGGCACCCAAATTTTGTCAATCTAAACAGGATATCTCTCTTGAACAAAAATTGAGTAAAACAAATAAAATTTTTTATATTTTATTTTTTACAATAAACCAACAGTTTGCTGAATTCTGTTTTTTTTTTAACATCTAAAAGACAGTTTGCTGTTTTTTAATTGTCGATTTTTTTTAATATCATATTTTCTTTTAAAAAAATACTGCTGTTTTTTTTACAACTAACCGACAGTTTTCTAAATTCTGCTGTTTTTATTAGACGATGAAACGACAATTTGTTAAAATCTGCTGTTTTTGTATAACTATTATATGACAGTTTGCTAAAATGTGCTGTTTTTATCAGACAATTTGCTGAACGACAGTTAGCTGAAATCTACAGTTTTTGTATGACAATTATATGACAGTTTTCTAAACTGTGCTGTTTGTTATAAAACGATTAAATGACAATTTGCTGAAATATACTGTTTTTGTATGGCAATTTTATGACAGTTTTTTATACTATGCTGTTTTTTAGACAATTAAATGACAGTTTGCTGAAATATACTGTTTTTGTATGACAATTTTATGACAGTTTTTATACTCTGCTTTTTTATTAGACAATTAAATGACAGTTTGCTGAAATATACTGTTTTTGTATGACAATTTTATGACAGTTTTTATGCTCTGCTGTTTTTATTAGACAATTAAATGACAGTTTGCTGAAATATACTGTTTTTGTATGACCATTTTATGACAGTTTTTTATACTCTGCTGTTTTTATTAGACAAATAAATGACAGTTTGCTGAAATATACTGTTTTTGTATGACAATTTTATGACAGTTTTTTTATACTCTGCTGTTTTTTTAGACAATTAAATGACAGTTTGCTGAAATATACTGTTTTTGTATGACAATTTTATGACAGTTTTTTATACTCTGCTGTTTTTATTAGACAAATAAATGACAGTTTGCTGAAATATACTGTTTTTGTATGACAATTTTATGACAGTTTTTTTATACTCTGCTGTTTTTTTAGACAATTAAATGACAGTTTACTGAAATATACTGTTTTTGTATGACAATTAAATGACAGTTTGCTGAATTCTGCTGTTTTTGTGTTACAATTTAGTAACGGTTTTTTGTTTTTTAGTTGCTGTCAAAATGGAAATAATGAAAAATGTCTAACATTTTAACTTTCTAAAATCAAATTCTAATTTACTTACTTACCATCGACACATCTACTGGGATTAACTCATCGCCATCATTTCCGAACTGTTCATTACTTTGTTCGAAAAAACTGTATTTGATTCCCATGTTTGGGTAGAAGAAATTTAGAAAGAAAAAACAGTTCTAGAGATTAAGAGTAAAACAATAGAAGCACCGGAAAATAACAGAAAGCTATCAAAACTTAGAATAAATAAAAAAACATTTTGCATTATTTCACCCCAACTAACTAGTTTATCCTCTACAAATTAAGCTTAAAGGTACTGTCAATGAAATTTATATTTGAATAATGGCATATATTCACAACGATACCCTTTAAACCTCAATCAGATTTCCAAGAGGATGGCATTTATTTATTGTCTTTAATATCATATATCATGTTGAATACTGACAATTTCCATCATTGTCCATATAGCATAAATCCGCAAGTCCTTAAAATTACCAATTTCAGTTAGAATAAAGAATATTAAGCATTATTATTTATCCGACTAGTTTAATATATTATTTAAAACAACTCATACCAAAGAATTCTTAGCGTCGTTTTAAGTTTGAAAAGTTGCAATATTCGACTCGGATCGTAAAAAAATCAATTTAATTCCAAACAAATCATTCAGATATTACAACCTATTCTCATCGATAATTTTCGACGCATTCGTATATAGTTGATATTTCATAATATTTTTTTATTTCTTTTAAACACAATCCACTTAAAACGACGATTTTTTCCCGCTAGGTGTCTCTGCCTCTTGGAATCTTTCAGAGCATCGAGAGCAGAAACACATGGACGCTAAATTTTAAAAAAAATGAAAAAAATTGGAAAATAAACTTGTATTCATCCGACGACGGTGATAACCGGACACGCCATAGCACTCTATATAATAGAATTTCACTTTAAATTACGCCCCAAACATTAGATTTATAACTATAAAAATATTAAAATAATGATTCCTTAACATCATGTAAGATGAGTCTTGTATCCGTCCACCTACAAATATTCTTTTGTAAATATTGTAATACAGGGTGTCCCATGAAACATGAAAGTTTGTGAATAGTTTTAAATGTCTTCTTCCTTAATTTGTTCTTTGATAAAAAAGAGATTTATTATCATTGAAAAGAAATATAAAATGGCAGTCATTTCAGAGTAAAACTGATTTCAAAGAAAAATATATTTCAGTAAAAGAGTGAAAAGAAGAAAGAAAAAGAGAAAGAAAGAGTCGAAAAGGAAAGATGAAAATAACAGCTAATTTAGCATATATGTTAAACTAGTTTGCTTCCATAGATTAATTAATATATAACAAATAGGACACTAGATGTCGTCTTTTCAAGATCACAATGCCCGTTGCCCAATACTTATTCTAATACTTATATCTATGAAACTTTGCAATCTGATATCGTAAACCTTTGATATTTCAAGCTAGAACCAACAGCCAAAGCTTGAAATAACAAAGATTTACACAATGAGGTTGCAAAGAGTTTAAGGCATGGGTTTAACTTCTTTTAATTTTAATATATTGAAGAAATGGAAGCTAGTTTTTCTTATGTTTTCATTTTCAATTAGTTGATTGATTAAATGAGTAATCGTTCTTACCTGACAAGAAAGAAACCATTGAGAGTGACACTGAAATCATGATCGTTTACATTCGGTATATCCTTGATATCTATTCCTATAAGATAATATTACATTCGGTATATCCTTGATATCTATTAATATAAGATAATATTACATTCGGTATATCCTTGATATCTATTCATATCAGATTATATTACATTCGGTATATCCTTGATATCTATTCCTATCAGATAATGATAATAAAATATGAAAAATATAATAGATTCACAATTTAAAAGAAGTCCAAAAATGTGACTACTTTGCTTCCCCCCTTTCCCTTACATTATGAGGTACCCCTGTGAATCATTTAGTGGAGAGGGGGGGGGGAGATTTTAGAAACTACTATAAAGAACTATTATTTTGAATTACCTATGTTGACTTCTGTTAAGGTTTCATTTGGGAGCATATTCTTGTAATAAATCTCAGGTAAAGATATGGTTACACCTAGTAAATCAATTAATCAATCCTGTGATTATGCATCTTATTCCATAAGACGGATTCATTTGATAAATCAAATAATTAATTTGATGAGTCACGGAAGTTCGTAGTAAAATTTTGACTCCACTAGAGACCACCGGAGGAAATTCTTTTTCACTGGAGGGGTTTAAAAAATGCTTTTTACAATTCAAAACTTTACTCAGGGTGATTTACATTCCACTGGAGGGATTCAGATGTCCTTCCTGGGGGGTTATTTAATTCCACTGGAGGGATTCAGTTATCCTTCATAGGGGTTTATAATTCCACTGGAGGGATTCAGATATCCTTCCCGGGGGTTTATAATTCCACTGGAGGGATTCAGTTATCCTTCCAAGCGATTTATAATTCCACTGGAGGGATTCAGATATCCTTCCGGGGGGTTTATAATTCCCCTGGAGGGATTCAGTTATCCTTCCTATGAGTTTAAAATTCCACTGGAAGGATTCAGTTATCCTTCCAAGGGGTTTAAAATTCCACTGGAGGGATTCAGTTATCCTTATCCTTATCCTTCCTTGGAAGGATATCTGAATCCCTCCAGTTGAGTTATAAACCCTCAGGAAGGATATCTGAATCCCTCCCGTGGAATTATAAACCCCAGGAAGGATATCTGAATCCCTCCAGTGGAATTATAAATAAAATCCCTCCGGTGGTCTCCAGTAGAATCGAAATCTTACTATGAACTTCTTTGAGTCAATTTGATAAATAAATTCTGGTAAATCAACTGATCGGTTTAATATTACACAATTTTTGTACACAATTGAGGAATCAAATAATCATTTCAATATTTACAATGTATAAATAAACATCTGAAAAATCAATTCATTTTACACTGATAACCAGAAAAATGTAGATAGGAAAACGACATTAAATCATTACTTAAATGTATTTTATGTTGTTACAAAGCAAAAAACCGGTGAGATAACCAATAACTTTTTTAGTTATAAATAAAGACTATTTATGAAATATCAACTATATACGAATGCGTAGAAACAAATCTATGAAAATTGGTGTCATATCTGAGCTGAAAACTTTAGAATGAGATATCCTTAATCCCGATTACTTTATCTGAGTTTCCAATGGACACACTTTTGATCTTTTCCTAATCGTTCTTTCTTGGATATAGTATAGAAAAATCAAAAACCGGTTTTTCTAAATTAGAGAGTTCCTCCCATTTCTGTATATAATCTTAAATGGCGCGCAAAATTTCAAATTTATCGGCTTCATATACGCGACTCTGATTGGTTGAATTTTATACACTTTTCAGGATACAAGTACATGATTAGATTAGTCTCGATATTATGAAAAAGAGAGGTTCACACATTAATCTCGATATCCACCATTCAAAAGTTTTCAGCTCTGTTTACACTACACTCAAATGTTACTTTTTTTAAAGTCATTACTTGAGTTTAAAAATCGACTTCCTACTTCAGAGTTTTCTGTATACGCATAAAATTTATTTTGGTATAGGTAATTATGATACAGACGAATATACTGAATAATCAATTATATAATTAGATGGTGTATTTTTGGATACGTACAAAATTTATTCTGAAAATTTGAAGACAAAAAAATACATTTGAATGATGAACTGTTGTTGTATTTAGAATAGCCCTTCAGCGGGAAATTCCCATCACAAACCTTTATCTGATCAAAAATGTAGAAGATAATGTCGTTTTTTTAGCTCAACAATTATTTGTTTCGGAGTTTTTCTTTAGTTTTTTTCAAAAGTAGAAATGAGCAAGTCGCTTTATAAGAAACCAGAATTAAAAGCCGTCTTTTAAAGAGATATATTGATTAGGGGTTTCTGTCGGAAATCCGTTACGCAAAATTGCGCGCAACTGTTTTTGAATTGCGCGAAATTGCGCGAAATTGTGAAAAATTGCAAGGAATTATGCGGAGTTTACAGGGCTGGCAATTGATGTCAAGTAAAATCCACTTGCGCTAGAAACCTAATAATGATTGATATTTAACCCTATCCCTGCTGGGGTACTTGAAAACCAGGATATGCTGGGGGCAATTTGACCCCCCCCTCTAAAACCCATGTTTTATGTCCAAATATGACAAATGATACATCATTAGAAAGCTCTTGTGCTCTTCTTTTCGAATCTGCAAAAAATTTTGAAAACTTGCAAAAATAGATTTTTTTATCGCAAAATCCAGTTATATAGTAAAAATGTTTGCAAAAAAATTAGTCCAAAAAATGAAATTATACATTTTTCAAAAAAGCCCTTGACCATGCCATTTCGCCATTTCAAATATGCAAAAATTTTTGCAAAATTTTAAATAACCTGATTTTTAAGCAAGAAAAACTAAAAATGTGCAAATTTCCTTTGACAGGTTGTTTGCAAAAAATTTGCAATTTATTTTTCGCTAAACTTGTGCAATCCGTTTCCTTATGTCATAGGCTTTCCAAAAAGCTAAATTTTATCAAAATCTGACAAGTGAAAGTGGGTCAAAACAATGATTTAGTTTGTTACAAGCAAAAGCAGTCATTCAGGCAGTGTACCTGAGGACTCAGGCAGTTAGTATTAAAGCCTGGTTTTAGACCTAAAGGGAGGGCTTTGGGTATGTAAGAAAAGTCAGAAAATTTCAACAGCCTCAGACCAATACTTTTTGAGTTATTTAAAAAAACTACAGGAGGGTTCAATTTGACCCCCCCCCCCCAGCAGGAATAGGGTTAATGCAATCTCGATCAGACCAAGTGAATTATATATGCTACTTTATAATTTATGGGTCACTTGAAATTACGTTTATAGAGTCTCATTAATCAATATATTTAATATGTTTAATATATTTTCTAAACTGTATTTGATATTATTTACCATAGATTAATTAACAATAACAGATAGAATACCAGATGATTTTTTTTCAGAAGTCCAAAGGAGTTACGCGTATGCTTTTCTCTCTGTCGCATGCGCGTAACTCCTTTGCCTCAGGGTTATTGTGAACGAAAAACCCCTAAATCTTGAAAAAAGGACATCTAGTGTTCTTATTGATAATTAATTCATGTAATTTACCCTTTGTAGGTGTAGGTATTTTCTCTAACTGATTTCTATAGAAACAAATCAAAAATAAATTTTTAGTTCTCATTCTGTTCTTGTTAACGATTTTTTATGGAAGAGACTGACATGGTGGGGATCTTGAAGTGAAGTAATGTAATGTAATGTAATGCAATGTAATGTAATGTAATGTAATGTAATGTAATGTAATGTAATGTA